TAAATACTTCTGTTTCTCTACCCAGCAATGTTATTTCTAGAAATTTTATTCTAAGACAGTCACCTGCATGCCTGAAAAACATATACCCAAGGGTATTCACTACAAAATTATTTGTAATGACAGACAGTTGGACATAACCTAGAAGCCCATGAATAGACGACTTGTTAAATAAGTGATGATACATTTGTACAAAGGAGTAATGCAGAGTCAGTAAAAGAATATAGTCGTTCTAGGGGCTGGGGATTTAGCTCAGCGGCAAAGCACCTGCCTGGCAAGCGCAAAGTTGTGAGTTTGGTTCCCGGTACCGGAGAAAAACCAAAGAAGAAAAAAAAGAAAGAAAAAAAAAAGAATATAGTAGTTCTAGATGCACTGTATGAAAAGGTTTCCAAGATAATAGGGTTAAGTACACTAAGGTTCAGAACTTTGAACATAATAAAGAGTCACCTTTTGAGTGGATAATATGTTTATGTTTAACACACAGTGGTATTGCTGAAAGGTTACTAATAAAAAAAACCAGTAACCTAGTTGCCTCTGAGGAATTTTAGGGAGAGCATGGTTAGGTATTCAAAATCTAATTTTAAAAAATTTTATGTAACAGAGAGAGGTCTAAAGGAAGCCAGGGAGTTAGAGAAAGAAAGTAGAGGAAGCCACATTAAGAGAACAGAAAAACTGCCAAGAGAGACAGGTAATCCAGAAGTCATAGTAGGATATTCCCTACCTGTGGGGTAAGTGTGGCCATTAATGCGAGGTGAATTGTAAGGCAGACTCAGACAGTGCTTTTAAACTACAGCTTTGAAGTCAGGCAATTTCCAAGGAGGGCTGGGAGTGGTCAAGGTATACATGATAATTGAGGAAGAAGACAGATTCATTCCTAATATTGCAGATTTGATAAACAAACCTTTTTTATATTCATAAGATGACATGACTATCTGGGTATGGTGGGGGTGCATGCCTGTAATTTTAGCACTCTGAGAGGCTGAGGCAGGAGGATGGCAAGTTTGAGCGCAGCCTGGGAAACTTAGCGAGACCAGGTCTCAACATAAAAATTAAAAACTAAAATGTAGTTGAGTGTGAAGGCCCTAGTAGTGCTAATGCATGTGGGGGTGCACACACACACACACACACACACACACACACAAAATGTGTCTGTGTGATGTGTATAGTTTATCATAAATCAGGAAATACTAGGCCCTCTCATACCTGCAATCACATATGATATTAAAAGAAAGAAAAATCAATCATCAATCAATGTGCAACTCCTAGGAGTTGAAAGGGTATCATCATGTATCTACAGTGTGTGCACACTACAGCAGACGGTAAGTGGGAGAAAACTGGGGGAAATGAGGTCAAGTCTCAAGATGAATCATTTGCAGAAATAGGTCCACAGTTCAACTTTCCTCATTAAGCATTATGATTTAAAAAAAAATCATATTGAGGCCATTTTAAAGGAAATATCTAAGAGCGTCACCTTTGCTCCTAAGCATGTTGTGTAAGTGTGCACGTACACATATGTGTGTGCACACAGACCATACATATAATCACACATACACAAACATACACTTGTGCATTATATAACTTAGACTCAGAGACAGGTCTACCAACATCCTTAAACTACACTTATGTATGCATAATAATCAGTTTATAATAATAAAACAGTGAAAGTGACCATAAGATTGTTACAAATAAATTCACATGTCATTGTAACTTGCATTTTTAGTTTGAGATCAAGTAAGAACGAACTTAAAAAAATTATAAGCCAAATACACTTGTAACTACACCCATTACAAGGATGTAATTTAAACCTCAAACATCATCATATTGAAAGAGAAAACAAAACGCTAATAGCATGCATTGACGTTTACATAAAATTAGTATGTAAAGTGAGAGATAGGAGCCTGATGATGAATGCGAAGCAATGGTTTGCATTTTAACAGACTAAGCAAAAATGTAATTGGCAAAGAAGCAAGTCTAAATGAACTTCCAGCTATTTAAACATTAAGTGCAGCTGCATGCTAATCCTCAGTGTTATAAGTTAGAAAAAAATCTGTTTAAACTGAAATTCAAAAAACAAAAGCAGCCAATATGTGAACTCACACACTATACTGAATTTGTCACCCATTCAATCAGAAAAAAAGGTGGTTTTTTTTGTTTTGTTTTTTCAGAAAGGTAATGTTTAAATATTGGGCCAAGGATATAGCTCAGCAGCACAGTGCCTGCCTGGCAAGTGCAAGGTCCTAAGTTTGATTCCTGGTACCAACAAAAATCAGAATATTTGATCTGCAGTTACTTTACATTGATTGGGAAAAATTTACTTGAAGGCAAAAGATCAGTCTTTCCACGAACAGCATCTTTCATTCCTAGAATTAATAAGGAATAAAAACACTTATTTTTAAGAAGTTGCTAATACAATATTTCATTTAAACACCACTAACAGCAATAGCAATAATTTATGGTTTGTAGTTAACTTTGCACTAAAGTACCTGCTATGCTACTATATCAAAGAAAAATTCACAGTGTTAAAACAAACCTAAGAGTATCCTTCAAAGGAGTTGAATTTGTAGCACACGGCATCTTAGTGGCAATTATGAGTTTGCTGCGGCACTACTCCTCCAGAGTTTAAAACCTGATGTCACCATTTTTGCTGTGTGACTCTGAGCAGATCACTGGGCCACTCTGCTCTCACTTTTCTCAGGCCAGTACAGTACAAGGACGATGACAGCACGTAACTCTTAGGATTACTGTGGGAAGCACATGCATTCCCCTACTCAAGGGACTCCCACCAGTGCTTGGTACATGCTCAGTAACCGTGAACCATCGTTATTGTCTTCAATTAAGACAGCGATATCTAAGCAGGCATCATATGGTGGTAAAATACAGGTATGAAGAAGATGGTGGCCAAGCAATCATGATTTTGCTGGTCCCTAGAAAAGAGGGAGTATTCTCATCAGCCACTTCCTATACTCTTTCTTCTTGGAAGACAGGACTCAAAGGAATATCCTTGGCTACTGGTTTTTTTTGTTTGTTTGTTTGTTTGTTTGTTTTTTCATGGCTATTGTTTAGTAAAGGTCAGTCCTCAGTAGTAAACTAAAGAACCCCTTCCTTGATAGATGCTTCCCAAGAGATTTGAGAACAGAATGAGGTGTCAATACCCCTCAGCTGCCTTAGGATGTGCTTTGAGATTGTGGCACATTTCCCCACAATACCATCCCTCCACTTGGTGACTGGTCACGCACCTCACTTTGGGTTTGATCTTTGTCCAGATCCCTTGAACTAGACCACCACATGTTTTATTTATCCTTGTATTTTCCAAGATCTTGCAAAAGACAGAGAACAAAAATCAAAGCTTATACCGAAAGATTTTCCACCTTTTTAATTTATTGGAACTAGCAACCTCTGAATGGGAGGAAAAAGGCCAAGTCTTACAAGCATTTTGATGGGGTGATAAGTCATGGAAAAGGTGGAAATTCCCTCAAAATAAACACATCAGGACCAGGCTCCTCATACGCACTCGAGTCCAGTCCTGCCGTAACAACATTGGCATTTTTGCCAATGGACAAAGGGGAGGAAAGAGGAAAAGACTTGAGCCTTGAATCAAACACACACTCTGATTCCAAAGAAAGATAAGAAGTCTCTGCCTATGTGCAATATATAAATAGCAACCCCAAACTCTAAGAGGGCTGATAGTGATGCTTCCTGGTACCTGCACAAGGGGTGGGGGCAAGGGGGATTGCATGCCATCCCTCCCAGACCCAGGCAGACAAGAGGGTCTAGCACATACTATGGGAGTAAAGCTGAACTCCAGGTAACATCAAGCTCTTGCAAGACTGGACCTAGCTTTCCTTTCCCATACTCTTCTTCTTTCTACTTCATCAAGGCCCTGGAGACTTTATTCTCAGAAAAACCCACTCTCCAAAAGAGATCTGTAATCTTCCCTTATACCTTAACTTTGTACCAGTAACTTCTCTTCAACTCATTTTAGTTTCATTACTATTTCTAAGGCAAGGAGAGGCTTTATGAATTGTTCAAAGAGAGTTCATTCTCAGGCAAGCACAATCCAGAGTACACAACCTATTCTGCTTGTACAAGATACCAGGCCTCATCCGTGAATCTACACGGTCCTATTATCACAGTAAATATCTAAAATAGATGATTCCTATTAATAAAATTGGACTTAAAGATAATCTGAGCAGAATAATTTCTCCAGATTTTCAAATACCATAGGACAACAATAATTTTTTAAATGTAAAAGGAAGCAACACTGGGCACGGTGGCAGAGGCTTGTAATCCCAGTACTCTCTGGGAGCGTAAGGATTACAATTTTGAGCCCAGCCTGGCAACCCTGTCTCAAAACAAAAAAGGGTTGGGGGTGTAGCTCAGCACCAAGGCCCTTGGTTCAATTCCCAGCACTACCAGAAAACAGAATAAACACACACACACACACACACACACACACACACACACAGAGGAAAAATCACAAAGAAAAGTTATCAGAAACTCTTATTTTCTGCTCCAGTGGTCACCACTAAGCTACCACAAAATCTCAAACACGTCAGTTGAGTTTTCTAGTCTCCAGCCTCCAACGATAAAATTAATGAGTTTGATAGCTATCTAAGGTTCCTTTCAACTCTCAAATTTTATGATTCATTAGTCATCTTCAGTTCAAGTACTTTTGGACATTGTGATAGCAAAAGTTCAATTTGCATCTGGAAATGAATGTGAACTATGCAATTGAAGATATAAAAATGAACTTTTAAAATTAATGTAGCACGGGCGTGAGAAAGAAAATGGAAAATCTTGTAGAATTAGACACTTTTCCTTTCTGCCCTTTATAATAGACCACCAGATCTAATAACACCATTAATTTTCTTTTTCTCATTCACACTATAATACAGCAAAATTCAAACAAGTGGAACAATAAGGTTCCTAACCATGAGGGTCACCACGAACTTAGAGCACAATGTCAAATTTAAGAGTGGAACCCGTGATTTTCTGCGCCTCACCTTCCACCAGTTGGTCCAGGCTGGAAATCTTCTTAAGCCCATCAATGGTGTAGATTGTTCTCACTCCCTGGGGCAAATTCACATTATCCGACAGAGTTCGGGTCAAATCAGCCAGCAGGGCCTCAAAAGATCGGAAGCGATCTGGGGAGATGGCATACACAATCCCTTTGAAATATCGATCTCCGTTCCGATAGAAGCGAACCTTCTTGGCCTTCTTCTCTGAGCTGAGTGTCTGCAGCGTGCGTGTGCGGTAGAAGCTGCAGTGGGCGCTGTGCGTGGGGCTGGGCAGGCCATTCACCCGCGACCCCCTGCTGTACCTCTGAGCCTTGTCGCGCTCATCGAAGTGCTCCAACTCCATGTCTCTGCCGAACGACATGACGGACTGCAGGTGGCACCTACCGGGCACCAGAGACACAAGACACATAGCCTGATGTTATTCGGAGATCGTGGTTTGAAAAGCTCTGTTTGGCAGCAACTGGGTAAAAATATTGCTATAATCGAGATGATCTATTTACTGTGAGTTATCAAGTGGGAGAGAAAGAGGAGGAGGACAGGGAAGAAATGGCAGAGGCAGATGCTGGCGGAAATAGCGTATTACTCAACTGCAGTTTTGCTAGAAACAGCTCCTACATATCCAGTGCCTACTACCTATTAGGGGATAGTCGCAACACTCTCAAAATAGTGCTGTCCCTATTTACAAATGGAGAAACTGAGGCACAGAAGTTTCTCCAAGTAATACAGTTGGGAAATGCTTGAACCAGTAACTCCCTTCCAAGTTTGCTTAACTCCATAGTTCACGGCTTCCAGGCAGGACAACATGCTAATACTGGGAGCAGAGGGAAAATAAGCTTTCTTATCACACAGCTGAAGACATGTGGTGTGCCAAGGTGGAATGAGGGCAGGCAGCATTTAACAGCCAGGCAGTGAAAGTTTTACATGGCATGTGCTCCTCACGGCCAGATGGAGAGCAAATTAAATCAATCCGTGGGTTCTACCAGTTTAAAGAAGACAATCCAAGATATGCATATATTCCATGCTTGAAAAAGTGAATTCACCTTAAGTCATTTACTTACATTTAATGCTCCCATTAGTTGGCCTTTAAAAAATGACGAAAGAAAGATCAGGAAGAGGAGGAGGAACAAGAGGAGGACAATGAAGAAAATAAAGAAAAAAATGTACTTCTCTGGCTGGCTTTGCCTTTCCCTCCACCTAAGGCTCTCTCTAGCCTCGTGTTTGAGGAAATCAAGGTTTTAAGCTGTTGATCCAGACCTGACCCCAGACTACCCATGTATCCTTCAGCAATGCACTTGATCGACGTCTCCAAGCCTCAGTTTTTTTCAATCACAAATGGAAACAAGAATAGTACTTATCTCATTGTTAATACCATTAAGTCAGTCAAAGCACATGAAGCACTCAGGGTGGTTTCTGGCATGTGACAAGTATTAATTTTTTAATTAATAAATTTTGCTTTCTGTTCCAGACCCTGACACAAAAAAGAACTTCCAGGTACAGAATCTACTCCTGTGGCAAGAGAGGCACCTGAAGAATCCTAATTCCCATCTCATGACCGCCTGAAGGAACACCTGTACCTCTACAGTCCTCATTTCACTTTCTCTGTCCCGAACTTTGATAAGCAGAAGTTGAAGTTCTTGTTATCAGCATGCTGCCTATGGGGGCAATCACTCTTGCTAAGGGCTTAATTGATATAGGTTGTCCTTTGCAGGTAGACCCATGTTTTAACAGCGCAGTCCAGAAGGTGGAAATATCTCAGCATCCAAAGGAAGAATTTTAATGACAAAATTTCAGGCACAATGAAGTAGAATTTAAGGGAAATGGAAAATTTGAGGCAACACTCTAACGGTATTTCCCAAATTCCACCACACGGATGATATCACCTTTTTTTGAAAAGGAACCAAAACTCACCAAACATACCACTGAGTCTCTCTGATATTTCCTTGACTGCTTATAAACTGACCTCTGATCCATCAGAATGTGTGAAAATGTTATGTGTCAGTTGAAAAATAAATTTGATTTAAAAAACTATAACAAAAACTTCCAGGCTAAGAAACATGGCTAGAGATTTGGCTCTCTTGGAATGAATAAAAGAAAAGAAAATAATATTTATGGACATCTAAGATGTTCCTGATATTTGTTGTCAACAATTCTAGAATATGCTAAAAAAAAAAAAAACTTCATCTAAACCTCACTTGACTCTAATGATGTAATTAATATTATCTAGACCGAAGATGGGATTTACTCAGGTTTCCAATCGTGTAACTGAAGGAGCTAGGATCAGAACTTGGATTTACTGATTCCAAAGCTGGGTGTTCTAGATCCTGTGTTCTCGTGAGACCGGACCCTCATTAGTATGTAAAACAGAGGTTTTTTTTTTTTAAGCCTTCATTCCTAATCAGCTCAGTGACCTTGGGCAGGTCACCTTGCCTAGGATGTTCATCTGTACAAAGAAGAAATAGGAGTTTCTAACACTTTTGTGTATCCATGATTCTAGTACCGACCTCACTGAGAAACCTGGAGAGAAGAATACAGTAGGATTTAAACCTGGAATGATTATGAGTGTATTTTTTTCTCTAAATGTCTGTGAAAACTACCTCCTACCTCTTAATACTAGTACCTAAGCATTGTCTAATTTTGCACTGTTCTGAGAAAGTTATACCAGCTATGACCTGGTTTCACTGATTTTGAAGTTAGATAACTTCAAAACAAGTATAACTTGATATCCTACCCTGTGGGCATGAAAAAGTAATATTTTGCTCAAGATATGAGTAACAGCACCCACTTTGTTCATGTATTATTAAAGTAAGTTCTTGTCTTCCAAAAGGTGTGAGTGCCTTGTGGGTGAGGGGAGGATGCTGCTAACGCTCAAGACCACACACTAAGCTCTTCGAAAACTTTGTAGGTGATAAATTGACTTTTGAAGGTAATCATCTCTTTTTAAAGGCAACCCTAAGGATTTTCTCCCAAATTGATATATGCCGAAAGAAAATCAACAAGGATGGAGTAAAAGATGACATCCTTGTGATACCAGACAGAGTACACAACCACTTCCAAGGTGTACTGGCAACTCACAGTTTGCAGAAGCCAAGTAATTTGGCAAAAGTTTGAACTATCTAGAGGGAATGGGCTCTTAAGAGCCAGAATCCCAAAAAGAAAGGGGTGAGGAGGAAAACAAGGAAGAAAGGGAAGGAAGGAGAATTTAAAATAGAGAAAAGTTGAGCCGGTGTAATGGCACTAGCTTCAAGTCCCAGCTCTTGGGAGGCTAAGGCAGGAAGATCATTTGAACCCAGGAATTCAAGAGAAGACTGGATAATATAACCAGACTCATCTCAAAATAATAAAAAAACAGAATAAATTGTGGGAAGTTTATTTTTTATTTGCATATTTCCTCAAACTGGATCATGTGTCATCTCAAGGTAGGAATCACATCTCTCCCCTCCCTACACTGAGCCCATCCAAAGGTAGGCAGTAAAGTTGCCAACAAAGCAAAACCAAAATGAAGTCATTGTCAAGGCTACAGCTACCGCGAAATGAATGTCAGAAACCACTGCACATCCTGGTGTTCTGGCATTTATGTGTGGCATTGAGACAGGTGCTCCTTGCCTTGTCTTGCTAGCTCAGCTTTCAACTGGCTTAGCCACACGTGTGAACCAGGAGCTCCTGAAGAAGATGCACACGTCTTGCCCAGGGAAGCCCGTCGGGACACACAGCCCCACATCCAGAGACCACGGCGGCTAAGGGCCTGAGGACACATGTGCATTGGCACCAAAAGGAACCACATCGATCTGGCCATAGAGACCGCACACACTGGCAGGGAAGGAGGCAGATGCTCTCATCAGAGATTTTCCTGTAAATACTGGCCATGTCAGGAAACCAACATCCTCGATTGTTCTTTGTGGGGTTTCTCACCATTTTGAGGAATCTCTGTGTGCATCATTGTCTAGATGAGCACAGTGATTCCTGTTTCAGAAATATGCCAACACACACACACACACACACACACCACAAAAGCAGTTGGCACAAACACCATCACATCTAAATAGAGTAGACGCTGGACCTGGAAGTCCCACACTATATTTCAGCAGTGAGAGTAGGATCCAGCTGGGTGGACCGGCATGGAGTAAAAGACACACACATAGCTCTCGAGTGCGTGCACCACCACAAAGGTAAAAATCATCTGTGTGCATGTTTTACAATTTTCCCACATACGACCGCTCAGCATCCTTTCTGACCTCCATTCATGTGACACTTCATACTTAAAACGCTGCCCTACTTTCCCTTCCCATTGAAAGGTGATATATTTAGGAACAGTCACGACACTTATTCACGAACACTCTGCAGTGTGCAGGCTACGCGTGTGCGTGTGCGTGTGCACCACAGCCTGGACACACATGCACAGGTGCGGCAGAGGGCCACTTTGAATGAAATCTTCCATTGCTCTCTCGCCCACAAGCACCTCGTAGCCAGACACAGCAGCGATTCCACTCAAACCTGGTTTTCAAAAGCAGTCTCTTTTGTGGGGCGGTGCGGGGCTGAGCTTGCACTCCCACTAGGGGGAAAATGCCATTTCCTCTCCACATGCCTTTAGCACTGCAGGTACTGATCTGTACATGAGGCAGCCTGGCTGTCCCCAGAGGAACTTGAGACCCTGAAAATGTGCTTGCAACACCCACACCGCAGCCACCGTCACACGCGGACTGGCTCCATCCGCAAGCACACACCATCCTCCCGGGCACACGGAGAGCACACACACAATAAAAGGCCGGGCCCGGCCACTCCTCCCCGGCGCTACTTGGTCCTGGCTCCGCAGCCAGTTCTGACAATGATCTGCACCGCTCCCAGCTCCTCCGCCCCGCTCTCCACCCACACGAACAGCCCGGCCGAGAGCCTTGGGGGAAAGGGGGTCTCGCCCGACTTCGCCTTTAAAGCCCCTTGGCACCAGACAAAAGAGGCAGGTGCCAGCCGCCGCGGGGTCGCCCGCAGGGAACGTCCCCGGCCGGGCCGAGGCAGGGCAGCCGCCTTCGAGGAACGGCGGGCGGGTGGGGCGGCCGCCAAGCTGGGCATCCGCCCTGCCCT